ATACTATAAATTAAAAAAAAAAAAAAAAAGAATTAACGCGTCGTTGAAAATTCCTCAAAACTGCACAAAATTCACTTTACCTTTGGTCTGTTCAGCTTTTAATTTTAATTCTTCGATCTTTCGATTTCTTGATACCATTTAAAAACTAACGCGTTTAATTTAATTTGTTCCTTCGATGAAAAATCGAGAATATTGCGACTGTTAGTGAATGTTGATGACGCTGAGAGCTCGATAAAAATCTGCATCAAAATTTGACGGATCTAAAAAAGTCAAAATTTCTATATGCTATGACAATTTATATTTAATTACGTGACGTAGAAACATCCCAGAATAAAATGAGCGATGAAAATCGAGACTTTCAAGTTTCAAAGCGAGTCGAAAATTGTTTAATTTGTACGATCTTTTTTTCTTTTCACAGAATTTTTTTTTTATAATTATAGTTATAGAATTATAATTATTTTCTTTTTCTACAGTTTACAAACACTTAATGCCCCAGATTAAATAAACTAGATTAACTAAAGTAGTATTTAATTTGAAATTTGAAGACTCCCCGAAACAAAGATAATTCAACGAACGTTTTGAATAATTCAGAACGAAAATGTTACGAATTCCCTGAATTTTCGCGTTGCAAAATTCAACAAAACAAAAAACAAAAGAGAGTCTTAAATTGACACAAGGGACGAACGAGGGCCGATCAAATATTTATTGGCCGATTCCAGTTGAATCAGGCCGGACTAATTCGATCGACAGAGAGAAAGCAAGTCGACGAGACAAAGATCAGAATGGAACAATGAGAAACTAGGATGCCCGGTGTTCGTTGACAGGAAAGAGGGTGAGTTCCGTGGCAATGGGAATGGAGGATAACGGCGTGTCAGCCACAGACAAGAATATCCTGGTGGCCGTGACAATTTTAACGACGAAAAGAAGAGGATCCCGCCGATGGGATTGCTGTCGCTGCATTTCGAGAATTTTCCCTCGGAAATCCATCCGTATTCGTGTCCCTTCGATTCAGTCCGATGTTTATTGATTTCAGCATCCTCGAAGAGACATCGACCCACCCTATTATTTCCACACCTACGATTCGTCGTAATAATTCAACGAAAATATTCTCTTCTCGAACTATCTCTTCTCGTTCTAGATTTCAACTCTGTTTGTTTCTTTTCTTTTCTTTTCTTTTCTTTTTTTTTTTTTTTCTTGATTTTCCATCAATCTTGACGCGTTTCTCTCACGTTTCAATTCAAGTTTGTCGACTCGCTTCTGAATAATTTAATTTCGAAGCATTCGTGGATTTCAATTTAATCTCGAAGCGTTTCTTTCGTTCTAGATTTCAATTTATATTTTAATTTTCGTTGATTTTTAGCCAATTTATCGATTTTATTGATCTTTAATCGATTTATCGATTTTATTGATTTTTAATCGATTTATCGATTTTATTGATTTTTAGTCAATTTATCGATTTTATTGATTTTTAGTTAATTCCAATCTGAAGTATTGAGAGAAGTAGCCTAGTATCTTAAGATTTTAATTGTACTCTTTATTTCAGTTTTCAATTTCATTTTCTTTTCTATTTTCAATTTCCATAATCTAATCTTGAAACATTTCTTTTAGATTTCAATTTCACTTTTCGACGTTTAATTAAATCTTTGATCAATCTAAATATTTCCTTCAAACGTGAATACTGTACACAGGTGGCAAATACCAGTTTCATAGAATTCCGAAATGACTCCGCAAGTATCCTAATTTTGAATTAATAGTTGCATTATGTATAATTTACAAATTAATAACTATTTAAACGGATTTATATTATTTAAACTGTTTAAACTATTAAATTAGAAATTAATAAAACTATTAACTAACACTCTCTCTCTCTCTCTCTCTCTCTCTCTCTCTCTCTCTCTCTCTCTCTCTCTCTCTCTCTCTCTCTCTCTCCCTCCCTCTTTCTCTTGCGACGAAGAAGATGATGAAATCGCGTAATCGAATGCCGAATAATCCGTTTATCTGAAAACTGACGATTGGAAGAGGGAAAGTTACGTATTCCCCCTCTTCAGCCCTAGTTTAGTCTCTTCAACGACGATTCGTACGGATTCATCGTACGGCGCGATATCTGCTTCGATCTCTTCGTAAAAACCGCGGATTTCAACGTCACTCTTTGCATTTTCCAACACTACCGACAAGAAATCTTAGGACAATTATCGTATTTGTATGTATAATAAATAACGGCACGGTAAATATAAAATACTGATGAATTATAATACAACAAATGTTTAAATATTTACAATGTAAATTGCGTGATATAAAAGTGTAAATTATATGCATAATGTGCAATATATAACATGAATTGTTGTATCAGTAAAATAATTCTTACTAGAATAAAATTCATAATTTTACTTTATTATATATTTCTCTTTTTCAACATTTGAAAGAAATAACATTTACTTGAAACGAAACAATAGTGATTTTCAATTCTGTGGTCTGATTAATTATCTTCGAATTTGGAATTTTTCTAACACAGCATTCTATTAATTATTTTGGTATTTGGAATCTTTCTGGCACAATGTTCTATTTAAGAGATTTAAGTTTGATGATTTAAATTCAAATAACTTCTATTTTAATAGGAGGAATCTTAAATAATTGTATGATTTAATATACGAATCTCAAATAGGTACTTTAAATATTCGTCACTCAAATATACTTTAATATTCGTCAATATCTGATAATTCTTATTTTAATATGAAACTTAAAATCGACAAATGCCTTTTATTTGCGATAAACTTATATTTTAACACATAAATCCTAAATTCAGTTTCATTTTAATAATACGTCAAAGCTAATAATTCTTGTTTCAATTCATGAAACTCAAGTTATTTTCATTTGAAATAATTTCTATTTTACGGTACGAAATTTAAATCATCTTCATTTGAAATAATTTCTATTTCAGTGCACGAAAGATTTTCATTTATTTAAAGTGATTTCTGCTTCGAACAGCTTCCACTTCAAAGTCTCAGATATACTTGAATAATTTTTATTTTATATAATATTTATGTTGTACAGTATTATATTTGTATAATAATTATATTATACAGTACTACATTTGTATAATAATTATATTATACAGTACTATATTTGTCTAATATTTATATTATACAGTACTACATTTGTATAATAATTATATTATACAGTACTATATTTGTTTAATATTTATATTATACAGTACTATATTTGTCTAATATTTATATTATACAGTACTATATTTGTCTAATATTTATATTATACAGTACTATATTTGT